TGATCTCAAAAAGGCTTGGAAGGTCGGTGTGCTGACAGCAGTCATAAAACATATGTCGCCCGATATTGCGAAGATCCGCAAACTCGTGAGGCAATCCAAGTGCTTGCAAGACAAGATGACAGCCAAAGAGAGTGCCACCTGGCTGGCCATAGTCAACCAAGAGGAATCCTTGGCTAGAGAGCTTTACCCCGACAGCTGCCCACCCCCATCATCAGCTTGTGGGACTGGGGGGATATTTTCTGTGCCTGACTGCAGCGAGTATGACGTTGATGGTGTCATTGACGATGACACCTGCTTTGACATTCAAGAAGAGAAGCCAAAAAATCTCAACCTGTTGAGTAATATGATGACGATGAACAATGATTTCACGCGCAAGAGGAAGACAGAGAACCAGGAACTGCCACCTGTTGTTCTCCTGGATGACAACAAGATTTACACTTGCGAGTTCATCCAATGCCCTCACAGCGAGATGCGTCTTGGGTTTCACGATAGACAGTCGAGAGACAATCATCAGTTGAGTTGCCCTCATAGAAACTCGGGAGGGTTTGGAGTTACTGATTTCCACATCAACGAAGTCGTCAAGTCATCCACATCTGTAGCTGCTTCATCTTTCCCTCCTAATTCCTTTGACATGTCTGGACTTGGGGTGCCCGAAGATGGGCAGAGGATGATAAGTGATCTCATGACGTTCTACGAGACAAACTTACAGCGAAACAAAAACTCAAACACCAGTGGGATTTTTAATAATAATAATCAGTGTCATCAAACAAACAGCAACAGTTACCTTCAGAATCATAATGGTGGTCTAGTGGCAGTGGGGGGTGGTAACATGTTCCCTCCTCTCAATGCAAGCTCAAACGCTTTCCCCTTCACTTTCGGGGCTCCATTCAACTTGCACAACATTGATTTTACAGATGGTTTATCTTCTGCAGCACAAGATTCCATGTCAAAGAAAGACGCACCAGTTTGGTACTAGAGGGGTGGTTGCACATATGGAACAATTGGCCTGCTTTGCTTTCATCAGGTGGCCTATTTGGTTTCATTCAGTTCTGGTAGTTATTTTAGTATTTTCTTTATCATGAAGTCTCTTGTTAGAAGCTGAAGGGCTGTGGTGTCTGGTTTATTAATTAAACCCTTTGCTTAACTTGCTATTTGTAGTTATCATCTTCAGACATAATCCCCCATATATATATACTCCGTATATGTATATGATGCCCTCATGAAAGAAACTTGTAGATGTTTCATATATAAGTTTTTCTTGTGTCGTTGATAGACTCCATAAATTTGTCAACTTTTTATTGAATTTCAGAATGTTGAGGGCGGGTTAAGGAAAGGCATTATAAAGTGGTTTTAGAGTTGATGGTCTTTTTGTTAAAATAAACTCCCCCAACCTTCATTCTTTTTTGCCATTCCAACTTTAATCCTAGAAGTGTCTAAAAGATAGTAAATCCTCCCCAAGTTTAAGTGAAGGTACTTTTCACTAATGAGAATGCATTGTAGCATTTCTCCATACTAACTATAAGTAAAGATTGATATATATTTTAGGCATGACTAGATGTATTGAGGATAGTATACAGATTTTGATGTGAAATTTGACACTAGTTTTAGGGATTCTCATAAAAAATGTAGAGATAGAGAAACATTCTTCCTGCATTTTGTGGTTACATTCTATGCCACTTTCACTTATTGGGTGTTGAAAAATTAGGTAGCTTTTTTGAACTCATAACTCAATGTTTGCATTTCATCTTTTTTCGCAAGTGAATGACACATCAAATGTAATTAGAATGTGTGGTAGTTATATTGAAAACTCTTTGTGACCAGTAAAAAAGAGATAACTAATGAAAAAATGAAAACATTGAGTTATTAGTTCAAAAAGTTACCTATTGATGTGATAGTTACAATGTTCTAAAAGGCGTAAGGCGTGCCGAAGCGGCACAGCCAAGCTTTGAGCCTTTGAAGCCTAGGCGGGCTTAGGCGGGGCTTAGGCGTGAAAAGGCGTTTTGATTTTTATCGTTTATTTTAATTTTCCTAGAGCTATGCTTATTATGTAAGTTGAATATTACATGAAGTTATTAAAGAACATCATATCATTGGAATTTTCAATGAAAAAAGATTTCCGAGTCCTTAATCTAGCAAATATATTCACCAATTACACGGAAATAAGATCGGGAAAAAGCAATTGAATGATAATATTAATAGTAAGAGAAAGAAAAGATACCTAATATATATGATCAACATAAGGATATTGGATGAAAATACGACTCGGTAACTTTTATTGTATAATTAGATTCAATTTTTTTTATTATAGTACGTAGTACAATAAAAATATACTTACCAGTTACATTTCATGTCTCACTTTTGTTCATTAATTCTATTATTATAGTAATACATGAGATAAACCTCTAATAACAATGATGATGAATAAAAATATAAGAATTTTGATTGATAATGGTGAGCATATTGATAAGGATAATAAAAATATAATAACAAGTTAAGAATCATATATATACCATCATATACTATCGTGATGTTTATGAATAATGAATAATGAATATTGAATGTAATACACTAATACCGAACATCAGTGCTTCGCTAAAACCCATATTCAAAGCATTGAGGTGCTCTGACCATTTTTCCCACACCGGTTGAGAATGGAAAATATCGCCTCACTCAGCCTTATAAATTACCTCTGATGTTTCACAAGTCTCTCAAGGAACGCCTTCGGCTTTCCAGCTTTGAGAACGCTTTTTGCGGGTCAAATTTGGAAGCTAGTATTTTTTTACGCCTTTTGCTATGCCTAGGGGTGATGCGGGGCGTTTCATTGGCGCTTCACCTTTGGGCGCCTTTTAGAACATTGGATAGTTATACTTTTATAGAGTTATGTAGGTAGGAGGTTAGCGTAATTTTACCTATTTATTTTTAAAGAATGTAGTAAATATTTAACTGATTAAGGGATTTTATCTATTTATTTTTAAAGAATGTAGTAAATATTTAACTGATTAAGGGAGTGTTTGCAACTGCACTTTTGGAGATGTAATGAAAAAGTGGTTAGTAGTAAAAGTTGATAGTGTTTGAGAAAAAAGTGATTTTGAAAAGTAAAAGTTGGTAGTGTTTGGTAAAATAAGTGTTTTTTGTGTAATAGAAAAGGGAATAGCACTTTTCACACGCAAGTCGAGAAAAAGTAAAAATTGGAAGTGTTTGGTAAATAAGTGCTTTTTAAGCCAAAAGCTGAGAAGTGTTTTTTTTAAGCTAGTGCAAACACTCCCTAAGGGTAATTTGACAAAGTTGCCCTTATCCCCTTATTCCTTCTCTAGTACAACTATAGTCCAACACGTTATACGAAGTATATGCAAAAAGATGTAAACTATATGGATTCTAAAATTGGGCTGAAGTCGGGTACTCTGGTAATAGCCCATGGTAATTCCGCCCTGGTAAATGCTAATGGAGTAATTTGGACGAGTTGGTAGTTTGGTACAATACACAATATTCTAGGAATCTTTTGTTCAATAATCTGAGACGATTTGTTGTAAAGATTTTTATTCTCTAGTGTAGTTTTAGTTTTAGATTGAACTTCCTGTTTGATTTGATCCGGTGCAATTGTTAAGTCTATTTTGGTAAAGATCTGATTTATGTGTATTTGATTATTGTCTACGTTTGATCACGTTAATTCTAATCTAGTGCGGGTAAGTTTGGTCTGCTTTGAACCTGAATCAGTGACTCTGCTTGTTAATTGATTGGGTTGGACTGGGAGGAAGTCTTCGAGACCCAAACCAATTAGTTTTAGGGAAAATATCACAAATAGATTCAAAAGTGAAAATAATATCACTTTTGTCGATGTTCAAAATTCTTTTCAAAAGTAGACTTGGTGCGCATTTCTTTTCACAAATGGACCAGGCGGACGAATCACGCCCAGTGGCCTCCTGGAAGTCTGGAACATCTTTATGTTACAAATGCACGTAGCTTCTAAAACACTAGCTATCCTTCTTTACTAAACTAATCCAGAGTGCATGAACTACTAAATGAAAAAACGTAAAAGTTTATTTGAGGTCTAGAATGTGAAAATAATTAGAGAACAATAAAGTCCAAAAATCGAACACATTAAAAAAACAAAGAAATTATACAATTTTTAACATCAAAATAGAAAAGGCGTAAGAAATTATAAAATTGAAAACAAGACTATATATTTTAATTATTTCACATATAAAAATAAAAAATTTAAATGTAACTCTTTCTAAAATTACTAGAAAAATATTTAAAAAAATGTCATATTTTATAAATATAAAAAGATAACACTGAAAAAGAATATAAAATGAGAAATAATATACTGAGTATAAAACAGAAAACATGATAAATGTTTGAAAAATATATACATGTTCAAATTAATATAAATTTCGTTTATGTAAAAATATAAATGTATTTTTTAAAATTTGTATGAAAGGGTATATTTTAAGAAGTGGAATATATTTTAATTAAAAAATATCAATTAAATATATAAAACTTCAAAACTTTAAATTTTTCGAACAATATTTTAAAAAGTGAACCAAAAATAGAAAATATAACTTGTAAAATTCTAAATTATAAAAGATATTTATGTAAGTTTCAAAGCGTTTTAAATTATAAAAATTGAAAAATAATATTTAAAATACTATATATGGAGTATATGTATTGAAAATGAAATTTAAATTCTGAATTTGTAATTTAATCTTTCTTAAAAGGTAAAAAAAAAATAGTAACATCTTACTGTTGCTTTTTGTTTCTTTTTGTTGGTAATTTTATATTTTTTGTTTCCTTGCTTTTTTTTGGCAAATTGTTTCTTTGTTGTTTCGTCATGTTTCAAGTTGTTGGTATTATTCATAAATCCACATGTATTGCTTTAGGTGTTTTTATACACATATCTATATATAGTTTTGTGTTTCAAATAAGTAGCACATATAAATGGCAACCTAACTGGAAAACAAAAATCAAAATTAATTGTAAATAACAATAAACAACACAATTCAACAAAAGGAAACATAATGCTACAAAATGAAACATAATTCAACAAAAACAAACATATACGATGCAACATAAAGAAACAAAAAAAACATATGAAGTATCACTATATATAAATAATTCGGTCTACTATTTTAATGTATTACATTCATCTATTACGGAGTATATTATTTGGCTTTGGATCTCATCATTCATTCTTCTTTTTATACATCTTGAGTCTTGACACAATTCTTCATACTTGATTCTCAAATCTTCATATTTCTCGTTAATCTTCATACCTGAATATGACTAGGCAAAAAATTATACACCAAAGTATATCAACAACAATATGACAACAAATAGATGTATAGTCCAAGTAAAGATAGTTTGAAGTACCTCTAAACCTGCAAGCTACAATAAACTCTACCCCAAAAAGGGAAAAGTAATATAATTCAAGCACATGCAGACATGGAAAAACAACATTATCACCTCAAAAGTTAGGACAATCAATGAGTCAATAATTACAATTTTATAACAAAAGACTTCATATATAAAAGTTACCAGACCTCCTTAATTACCTTTGATTAAACATAAAAAGAGTCGGAGCTAAATTAATTAGCCAAGTCACTAGATATCATAACGTTTTTCCAGAAAATAAAGCATCACCAAAATATTTCAACTGCTCATTCCATAGCAAATCATTCGGAAAGATTAAAATAAACTCAAACAACCACTTAGTGCTTAAGCTCTCCTCTGCTCCAGAACAAGGAGATTTGTATTTTATTTCAGAAGAAATAATTTGAGCATCAACTGTGTACTCAACAACTTGAATTATAAATGTGTTGAAATTAGCTTTTCAAGTATACAGAAACTCGTAATTTAGTAAAGTAGACAAACCCCTTGAAAGATCCCATATACAAACAAAAAAAAACAGTGAAAGTTTCTGCCACTGGTTAAAAGGATAGGATTAGACCTCAATTCCTGTTAAGCAAAGCTGCTTAATTGAGGCATCAATCAGAAAAGATATCTTGAAATAATATATACTAATATATTCATCTTCTTGCTTAGATGCCATTTCAATAGTATAGCAACCTACTTTAATTGGAAATATAAATTTACAGACAATACAGGGCGTTGTACCCTTGATATTGCTTCATCCAGAGTGAAGCCTGCATTGGAACAAACACCCAAGTGGTCCTCAGGGACTCTATCCCATTTTGAAAACCAAACTGAAAAGTCTCTGTTCTGCGAAGACAAATGTGCCTCTGGGTACAGGTAAGCCAAGAGAACTTTGTTCTTAGATTCATAAAGTAGGCTACCGTTAAGCAACCAATTTTTTCTCATTTGAACTCCTAATGACCTGGGTACATTAATAGCTCCCAATAAGTGAAACATTCCCTGTTTTTTAGAAATATGTATTTAATTTGGCAGCAAATATCACTATTTACTATGTAGAATACAACTTGTAAGAGCTCTCATGCCTAATTAAGTGTCAACTAATGTCAAACTTGTCAAATAACTCATTCCAGTTATAAAATATTGACAAACTCGACTAACTAACTCATACCATCAAAATAGACCTGTCAAATAATGGAGACATCTCATATAGCTCTTGCATTCACAAAAAAAAAACTCAAATTAAATGCCGCAAATGTGCAAACAACCAAACAATTATCGTTCTAAATAGCCCAATGACATCACTTAGAAGTATATGAAATATATACTTTTAAAAAAAATAATAAATACATCAAAAAAATTGTCAACCTGAGTGAGAATAGCATCGACCAACAGAGATTGCTGCTAATTGCATCTTCTGGTGCCACCTATTAGCTTTTTTATTCACAATTTCAGAATTCAGCCAAAAGGAGATTAAAAAAATAGAATTTAATTTATGCAAAAACAAACGGAAAATCTGCGTAGAAACGGAAAACAGATCTGAAATTACAGATGTCGAATGAAGAACCTGGTCTGACTCGCAGCCCAGGTGCGGACCGAATCAACGGCCACCGGCGAATAGTCCTAAATATGTACTCTGCCGCCACTGTCATAGCACCGCCTGCCGCTTCGTAGAGCCGCCGCTCGCAGGTCATTCCTTCAGCGCCGCAAGTCTCCACATGGACGATTTGCATTTCGCGCGACCTCACCCTCTAGGCAGCCTTCTAGCGACTCTCCTTGCACCTCTCTGACTCTCATATAAGAATAGTTAGAGTAGAAAGAATAGTTAAAAGTGAAATAAAAAAACATAATTGAAAACATAAAAGGTTAAAAATGAAAAGAAAAAAGAACAGTGACATAAGTGATATGTAGTACCCAAAAGTGGTCTGTATGGGTAATTTCCACTAGTTTATATTATGTTCCATGCCCACAACAAATCTCAGAAATAAGGGGAGTACACCATCTAGATGGGTAGTCACATCACCAAAAATGTTTTAGAAAAAAACAAAGCTAAATTGTAACTATTATATACAACCATAAAATTTTAAGCAATTTTATCCTAAATAAGACTGAAACGTGATCAAATTTTCAAAATAGGACTTTAAGTTTTATATTCCCTAAATGAGACTTGAGACTCTTCCCGTACTCACTCTTGCGATTTCTCCCTCTTCATCGACCGCACCTCCATCGATTGCAGTCCCTCCTCCTCCTCCTCCTCCTCCTCCTGAGCGGAGGTTGCAACAATTTTATAGCAAGAGTTATTGAGAAAAGTGTTGCAACTTCACGCTATGAGCCGAGGTTATTTCCCTCTTAGATGAACACTCGACACAAGAATTCGACCTCTACTACCGAGCTCGGGACCTCATACAGAAATTATGGATTTAGACATTTCAACACTTGAATTTCACAAACATTCGGGATTACGCCACAAACATGACAGCTATCCAGGGTTGATGTCACCCAGATGGTTACATGCAGAAGATTCCAGACTTACACGCGTGGCCTATCTATGTATTCCAGTACATAAAGGATAGGATCTGGTGCAACAATACCAATCAATCAACTGTTATTATTCTCTCATCAATTAGCTTAAGATATGTCAATATTTCATTAGGCCAATTATTTTACTTGTTTCCTAAGTATTTCCTTTTTACTGTATAAATATCACCTTCCAACTTGTTGATACGGATCACCATTTTTACTTTCAAGGTTATTGTTGCACTACAGAATTTTATACTCGATCTACACTCAGCTTATTATCAACTCTCACTCGGAAATTGTCTATCTCGGAGTCGATGAAGCCATCATTTGGTGTTTTCATTAAGAGTTTAACTCAAGTTGAGTCGCCTCATCTTATGAGGATGAGCCGCTGCGGAAGGTGAGGCGCCTCATGTGATGAGGATGAGCCGCTGCGGAAGCTGAGGCGCCTTCAGCCCCACAGAGGGCCACCTCATCCATTTATTCTCCCCTTGAAGCTCATCAAACAGCTCTATAATGGAGAAAGTAGTTGCACAACAATGAAACTCCCAGCTAAGTATAAAAGGTTCAATCATGTATGCAACAAAAACAATACAAATGCATAAACAAATAAAATCAAATGACAAGAGTGTGGGGGAGCCAAGGGCTCTCTGATAGCTTCCTCCTCTGTAGCAGCGTCACCTTGGGGAGGTATCTGAATAGCCTCTCCCTCATCAATAATAGCATCAGTAGTAGGAGTGTAGGACTGCCCAACAACCCGTACTATATCATTGATAGGAGCATCCATCTTGCTCCTTTTCTTCCTAAGGGCCAGACTCTCATCCTCTGCTTGAGCAGACTCATGCTGGGAGGGAGGCATATAGGTGTCCACCCTCACTTCATCAGAGTTAGGCCCTACCAACCTTGAATCAGCGTGACTCAATTGACACCGGTAACCCTACCAACCTCAACAACGTTCACTGCTTCATCTTCAAGGACCTGATGGAGGGAGTAACAAATATACTGAGGTCTGCCATCAACTTCTTCTCGGTAACGTACTTGGTGATATCAAGAACACCAAGCTCCAAATACCTCTTACAATTCACAGTATACAGTCCGACCTCACCCAGTTTACGCTTCTTAAAGATGTTGGATCCCTGAGGGATGAAAGTGGAGCCAACCTTGGGGTGGGCGCAGATGAACACAAATTTATTCTTCCACCTATGATGAGAAGTGGGAGTGTTGCAGAAGCCACTTTTTCCCTCACCTGGAAAATTGAGGCATATATCCTTGGTTGCCCTTCGAAGAGTTCTGGCTAATGTTGATTAGATTCCAGAATAAGTACACGGTAGTGGCAAGCTTCAACTGCTGGCAGTGAACAAGAACGAAAATCATGTATTAAAACCCGTTGGGTGTCACCAGACATGGCAAGAAGCCCACCCGATTGAAGCAATCCCGATGAAACGCCTTAAGGGGGGGGGGGGGACAGAATACATGATCTATCGAGTTGTCGTGGGTCACGAAATATCCCGAGGGACAAGAAGTCGACAGACTCCCAACATCTGGCAGCATAGCGTCAACAGAGGGTCCCGCCTAGCGGAGAGCCTCGTTGATAAGCGTTTTATTAACGTGTTCTATACAATCATTATTTATAAACGCTTGGACCAAATACGAGGATGATATAATACACACGAAGAATCTCGATTGAAAAAGGTCAACCAAACTCATCCCGGGGAACTACTGAAATCCACAATTATGCATGGAGCTCACGAAAGGCACCCACCTTTTGTAAAAGGCGTCCGACATGTGGCGCCGTAGAACTAATTCCGGAAATTCAAGCCAAAAGCCGCCCGATTCTGTCTTCTAGAGCGCTGGTCCACTTATTTTAAAAGGTGAAAGCCGCCCGGCTTTCGCAAAAGTTGTCTGCCTTTTGTTTGTGCGAGATTATAACAGTAACGGTCATCAAAATCATTCGGGGAAACACGAAACGGTCATCAAAATCATTCGGGGAAACACGAAATTTAATCAAGGAGGCTTGCTTCGTTGTCCAAAAATGGCCGTTGAAGACCTCCTATTCAAGGGTTTTGAAGCCCTCCCAACACACCATTCCATATTCTACATTTGGGGAAGCCATTGTCCACCATAGCTTTGGAGTTGTGGTATCAATTTCTTATGTACTTCATTGTATTTTATCATTTCAATACTTGTAATTCCATTATGACTTCTTCTAGCTAATTTTTCGTAGTCAAGGTTAGAGATGAAACTTTACGCACTCTAGGTGTTTGGTGTATGTTCTTGATGGATAGTCTACCCGGGGGGTATCTTATCCGAGGGGTTATTGCGGGAATAACTAGAGAGAAGTCAGAGCAAATAGGAGGAGAGAGAGTCGATTTATTAAATGAATTCGAGATGTGGAGTTGGGATCGTTTACAAGGAGAAATGGGCTGCTATTTATAGCAGCAATAAATGCGATGAGAGGACACGTGTCAGTAATCCAACGGCCGAAGGGTCACATCAGCCGGTTGGCACCGGCAGTGGTGCGTCCACCGCATTGAATGCGGTTGGCGGATGTGACGTGGCATTAAATGCGGTGGTTGGCTGTCTCTAAAAGGAATCTTTTGATGACTGAGCGTGTTTGGCCGAAGGCTCCTTGTGTAGCCGAGGGCTCCATGTAACCAAGGACCCCTGTGTAGCCGAAGGCCTTGTGTGACCGAAAGCTTGGTTCAGCCGAAGGCCTCTCTGATGCCGAGGGCTTGATAGTGCCGAAGGCTCATGTTTTTCACCGTTTTTTCCCAGTAGCTTCTTATGCCAGAGAAGGCTATTCTGTGAGTTTTGGAGCCTTCGGCCAAGGAGGCCGAAGGCACCCCAGTATGTATTTCGGGCTACTTTGAGGCTTGGGCCGTTTTATTCGGGCCTGAGTTGTTTCCTGAGCTCAATGGACTTGTGTAGGAGAAGTAGGAGTCTATGGGCCGGGGGTTCCTGGGCCATATACTCCATCAGGAGTCCCTCACTCCTTTTGCCGAAAGGTACTTGAGGGAAAAGGAGTAGATGTGTTGATTCTTCTGGAGGCTTCATCATTTAGTTGGGCGCCTTTGTTCGAGAACTTGTCTTCCGCTGAGTGCCGAAGGCTTCCCTCAGTCCCTCACATGTCGAGGGTTTTCTGAGGGAAGTATAACACCTGTATGACTACCGAAGGCTTTTCTCAGTCCCCCACATGTCGAGGGTTTCCTGAGGAAGAGTATAGATGTATTGCCCGTATGTGTTGTTATGAGAGCTGCTTTATTTTCGCAAGTGACTTGGGAAAAATACTGATACTCTGCCTCTGCCGAAGGGTATATTGAAGTATGTGCCCGAGGGTTTTTATTCTGATGTTCGCCCGGAGGCTATATGCGTCACTTGTCGATTTTTCGCTTGAGGAAATTTTGTATTTTGTTCTGCTGTGATGCCCGAGGGGTGTATCCTAGTCCCCCACTCCTTTAGGCCGAAGGCGAGTTCGGGCTGAAGGAGTTGTGATGAGTTGATGAGCCCCCAAGGGGTGGTAACATTGATAAGCCGAAGGCTTATGCTGCTACGGGCTCGAAGGCGTTTGGTGGAATTCGTTGCCTGAAGGCTGCGGTGAGTGATAACCGGAGGCTATCGTCTGAGGGTCACCTAATGTTCGGTGAATATAGCCGTTGCAATAGAGCCGTTGGAAGAGGCTTCCACGTGTCGCTTTGTCGTTGGATGATGGGGGGCGGGTGCCACCCATTGGTTGAACCGGCGGCCCGTAATGATGGCCTTTTTAAAATCGAGGCCCAGTTGTCGAGGCTGAAAGCCTATAAATACCCCTTGCTAAGGCCATTTTCTCCTGTGTGTTTCTGAGTCATAGCGGAGCTCTGCCGAATTTTCTAGAGAGAGAAAGTAACCCCTTTGATCAAAACCAACCTTTGAGGTCAGTATTTCCTTAGCCCTTTGATTCTCTCAGCATACTTTGCCAGTTTCTTAGATTTAGTGTTAGTGACCTTAGTAGCCTTCGGCTAGAGTTTTCGAATAGCCCTCTTCTTTCGATCTCTTCAACCCCTTGTAATCATGTCCTCTGAGAGCGATTCGCAAAACGTATTGGAGGAGGTCCCGGTTCAATCTGAGAGTCTTTCGGACGTGGAGTCCTCCAGCGGGCAGTCGTCATCAGCTGGTGATGACTTGGCAGTGGCCCAAGAGGTGCAGAGTACCCTTCGGGTGGAGCTTGAGGCGGAGGAGTTTGAGCAAGTGGCTGAGGACGAAGAGA